TGTATGTGTACCACATCTTCTTAGCCTAGTCATCTGTTGTTAAGATTTAGATTGTTTCCATGACTTGGCAATTGTTAACAGCGCTGCAGTGAATGTATGAGTGCACATATCCCTTTGAAGTAGTGCTTCTGCATTCTTTAGATAAATAACAAGGCATGGCATTGCTGGATAATGAAATATATCTACTTTTAATATTTTGAAAAAGCTCCACACTGTTTTTCATAGTGGCTGAACCATCTACAGCCCCACTGACAGCGTACAGGGGTTCTTTTTTTTATACCCTTAACCAACATTTCTTATTTCTGTTTTTTCTGATATGGATCATTCTTAATGGAGTGAGATAGTGTCTTACTGACTTATATTCTTGTTTCAATCCCTTTGGGCTGGTATAGTAAAATCCAGAGACTGTATGACTCATGAACAAAAAAAATGTATTTCTCGTAGCTATGAAAGCTGGAAAGCCCAAAGTTACGAGCCAGCAGATTCATTGTTGATCAAGAACCCACTTTTTTGCTCATAAATCATTCCTTCCAACTATGGGAATGACAAGGGTGTTCTCTAGGGCTTCTCCTATAATAAAGGCCCTAATCCTATTCATGAGGGTTCTGGTCTTGTGACTTGATCACTTCCCAAGGCCCTCTCTCCTAATACCATCACTTTGGGGATTAGGATTTCAACATATATATTTTTAGGAAACACAAACTTAAGACCACAGAAATTCTCTACACATAACAGATGTTAAAGGAAGAGAAGGAAGCTGAATGCAGAGAAACTAGAGAAGTATACCTACTAGCTTACAGTAATCATAATTAGAAGTTTTTTTTTTTTAAGAAAGAGATTAAGTATCATGTAAAATGATTGTATAGTAATAGGGTTACATATAATAACAGGCCTTGAACAAAGAAATTGAACTTTTAATCAGAAGGACATTTTCCTATAAAGGGTAGGGAGAAAATATGTTGTGTTTTTGTTTTATTATAAAACAATAACATAAATCACATTTTAATAATAATAAACCTTATATTTACTTACAATGGATTAAAACTCTATTTCCTCTATTCTTCCTCCTATAGAGATAAAAATCTCCTGAGAAAGCCACATCATTTTTTTATTAAGATCACAGCATAACACAAAGCATTGCATTTACTATAAAAATGAAAGGATTGTCAGTTACAAAAACAGATTAAGAGTTTGAATTGTGTAGAATTGAAAACTCCAAGTTGTAGCATAATGGAGGTAAACTTAAAAGTATTTTGATGGTGTAGCATTCTTTAAATGAGTGTATTGTAGTTGCCACCTCTATGTGCACAACACCTTGTCTGTTCCTCTGTTGTACCACTTAGCAAATTAAAGTCATTCCTTGTTGCTCTGTAAAAGATTGAAACCCAGGCCCTCCCTGGTGGCACAGCAGTTTAAAGCGCAGCACTAAGAAGCTATAGCCACTTCCGCATGAGTTTGATCCCTGTGCCGGAAGTGACCCACATGGCGTGGCAGACCTCTCCTGACTGGCCCGCTGCTGCCCTCAGCAGTGTACTTTATTGATCTGCCTGTTCTGCTCCCCACTGTGTCTATGGTGAATCCTCTCACCATCCCTGCACCTCTGGCCTGCATCCCAGTTCTGTATGCATAAGTAGATAAATCTTAAAAAAAAAAAAAAAAAAGATTCAAACCCCCAGAAGAGGCCAATGTCTTTGTCTTCCCAAATACTGCTCTAGTGCATGCCTCAGAAGGTTACTGAAAAAGTGGGAATGAGGCTATAAAACTAAAAGTTTTAAACACAGGTTAGGTTAGAGCAAAATATTTAAAGTATGAAATTAATTAGCGCAAAGAAGAAAAAAATGGAGAAGTGAAGAAATTGTTATTGAATTGCATCATCATACTCCAGCCATGGCCTATGTAAAAATGATTTAGAAACCTTTAAAATGTCAGAAGCATAGAGCTTGGAGGAATTTCCGAACTATCTATTATAACTTATTTGACAGGAAATAACCTTTTAAGTCTCTTACAAGTAGATATATTTGTTTGTGGAAGGTGGGAGACAGAAAAGAATGTAAGAAGCCTGTAAGCAGCTACTGTTTCTAGTATTTGAGAAAGGTCTTTGGGAATATTTCTGCAAAAGTTGTTTATGACTGTTTTCACAGAAAACAGCTACTAAAGATAAAGTAGGATATTAATTTGACTCCTTGACATCCAGTCATAAAATTATCTTCAGACAATAGGAGCAAGTATGCATGGTTGTTTGGGGTTTACTCTTGTGATCTGCATTCATTTAGGTCATAAGTCCTTTCTGAAAGGCATCTTAATGCCTGAAAAAATAAACAAATATTCAGACAGTGCCTTTGTTATTTTTCACTATTCAAATTCTTTCTTTAAACAAGAAGAATAAATCATGCTTAGCAAAGTATACTACTTGGCAAATACTGCTTGGCAAAAAGAATAAGGCAGATAAAATCCGAAATTTTACTATCCTGTATACCTGTACTTAATCAGAGCTAGAAGTGAAATACCAGTTGAAAAATTAATAAGTACCAAATGCAAAACATAGGAAGTTAGAAAATTCCATTAAATAATTAAACTCAACTTTCTGTAACAGCAGGAAAAAAATAATGCAAGATTAAAACAATTATGAAAAGCAAATAAAGCAAAGATGAAAAGATGGATGACCCATGATTTTCATGTGTTGATTTCTTCATCCCCAATCTTTTTACTGTTTTAAACCATCCAAATTCCAATCTTTGAGTACTTTTGTTTTCTTCCATAGCTTTAAATTTTCTTTGTCCTTTAAACAGTTTTTGAGTATTTGACAGTTAAATAAATGTCCCAAGTGTTAAGAAATTTAAAATATGTGTTGAAGATAGTCAAACTTGAAAAAAAATCTAGGTGCATGCCCACTTAGCGACAGCAGTTGGTGTGGAGGGATGTACCCTATTCTGACTGGAGCTTTGTCAGCTGATCTCCCTTAAACTGCTCTCTGGCACTTACATCACAAAGTCTACAAGAGAGAACACAAATTATTACTAAGCAAATTATTCTTCACTTGGGGTGTTTGAATGAAGTAATACATTGATACAAAGACCAAACTTAACATTTTTTATGCGTGCCATCTCAAATTCATAGTTGGGAAAACAAAGGTAGTTAACTAAAATAATGTGATCATTCTGTTGTATATTGTTTATATTTTTACTATTTTCTCTCCCAACTAATAATATGAGAAGTTTTCAATCATGATAATTTTACTTCTGTATATGACTTTAGTAACTAAACTCCTTTTCATTAAAGGAATAGTTTATTTAAACACTATTGTGTAATTCTACTATTACATGTTTTTCCATTATTTAAACACAATGTTACTAAATCCTGGCTACCCTTATTCATTGTTGTTTTAATTCCTGATACTTTGCTAAGTTTAGTAATTGTTTTTATTATTTTTTCCACGAAGTTTTGAGGGCTCTCTATATATTATGAGAAAAATACAATAAAAAAAATAGGTTTACTTTTTCTTTACACATTTGGATTCCTTTTATATATTTCTCTGGTCTCATTGCTCTAGAACTTCCAATACTATGTGGAATAGTAATGGTAAGAGTGGATGCCCCTATCTTGTACCAGCTCTTAGTGGAAAACTTAGTTTTTCATCTTAGAGACTGAGATTAGCTATGGGTTTGTTGTAAATAACTTTTATTATGTTAAAGTAAGCTTCATTTATCCTAAGTTTTTCCGCAGTTTTTATCATAAATGGATGTTGGTGCTTATCAAATGATTTCTCAGCATTATTGATGTCCTCATATGGTTTTTATTTCTGATGATGTAATGAATTAGGTTGATTGATTTTTGGATGTTTAACCACTTTTATCCTGGTATGAACCCCATTTGGTCTTGGTGTATGATCCTTTTAATGCTTCATTGGATTCAGTTTGTTAGGATTTTAACATCTCTGTTTACTGGGAAAATTGGTCTGTCAGTTTCTTTTTTTGTGGTGTTTTGTTTAGAGTTAGATTCATGTTGGCCTGATAAGGTGGATTTGGAAATTTTCTTTCATTTTTGGAAGAGGTTAAGCAGGATAGGTACTAGTTCATCTTTGAATTTGGTACAACTCACTTGTGAAGCCATGTGGCCTGGACTTCCTGTTATTGTTTCAGTTTTCTTGCTTCTGATTGGTTTATTGAGGTCATTTGTTTTAAATGTTTTACTACATCTTCATTGAAAATTTTTCAGATTTAAACATTTTCTTACGTCTTTATCAGGTTTGGGTTAGTATTTAATTTCTGCCCTCCACTATAATAATTTTAAATAATAATGGTATATGTTTGTGAAAGCATCCTAAAACCAGTCAGGAGAATATGGTGTAACCATGTATCATCATTGTTATCATCAAAAACAATCAACCTTTGAGTCATCTACCCTACTTTGGGGAAATAAATCCAAAAAAAGAATTATAGTGAGGAACTAATTAGACTATGAAAGTATTTATAATGGTCTGTGATGAAGGAAAACAAGAAATATGCCTAATATTGAGTTAGAGAAGTCATGCATAAATTATCATACTATATTAGGTGAGGTATTGTAATTACATAATTATAGAAACACAAAAATGTTCTCATTTATAATACATGTTAAATTGTATTTATACTATATTACATAAAATATAGATATGTATAAAGATTAGGAGAGGTATATGAAAATAGTTGTGTTACAATAGTGGGCTTTTGAATAATTTTTATTGTTCTTTAATTTCCTTTACTTACATTATACTTTTGATTCTTTGTGGTATTTTTTACATAGATGTATATTTAAATTTAAGCTCTCATACCAATTAATATATATTCCTTCAAGATCTTTATAGTATTTAGTAATTTGACATGTTGAGAGTGATGCTGTCTTTTTATTATCCAGTATTTAAAATATATTATGCAGCTTCTGATCATTTAATGCTACTATTTCATGGGCTAATTATTTCATAATTATATGCCTTTGCTATAATTATGGATTCATTTTCCCAGTTGCCCAACAGGAGACTGAAATGTTGAAACGCTACAATGGAACGTTTCCTGTACCTGGGATACAGCAAAGTCAGGATGCTTCGTGCCCCTGCCCTAAATTGCCATGTCAAGGCTCTTCTCAGATTGATGACTATGTCCACACTGAAAACTCATCAATGAAGATGCAGCAAGTGAAACAAAGACTTGATTCTGTCACAGTATGTTTAATTATTTTATGCAGTTGGAAAGTTGGAAATTTTAAAGCCTTGTGATCCTGTTTTACATTGCCTTTCTAGTAGATACTAGTTAGGTGAAGCAAGCTAGTAACTTAAAACTAAGCTTTCTTATACTTTTATAGTGCCTTTTTGTTACTAGCTACAATACACAAACTGACCTTATTATAACCTGTCATGCTTTCCTCACTTGATATCTCTGTAAACACAGCCTTCCCAGTTTAAAATTATGTGTGTCACATACATGCACTGCACATCAGTCTAGGGAAATATTTATATGAGACATATAAAAGGAAGACCCATTCCTTAACATGAAAAAAATAGCCAAAAATGATGGATAGTGAGAATTTAAAAAGAAATGGACCAAGGAAATAAGCATGTTTTACATTGTTTTATAAGTATGTATAAATGTTCTATCTAACCTCTATGAAAAGAAGCACCACACAAACTAGGTATTGCCCACAAAACTGGAAAACAGATAATGAAAATAGGAAGGGAGTGCTTGGTCCATAGAAGTATGATGTTTGGTATTGAAAGCTTAGGATCTTAGTATGTTAAAAAAGTTGATATTTCATTAAAAGAAATTATCTGTTTCTTATTGTATTTTTTAGGAGGTGATAAGAGCCTCTGCAGCAAAGGTAAGTAGTTTTTACTACCAGGAAGATATCATTAACACAATAGTTTTCATTGTGATGCACACAGAAAGTTGTATATATTGCTAAATGAATAGTTTCTAATAGAATTTTCACAAAAGTAGCTGTTATATATTTTCCTTATTTAAGCTTGAATTTATCAAGGAATTACATAATACTGGAACCTGCAAATTTTGCAAGTAGTTTCATGGTTTTTACGATCTAAAAATATTCAGTGGCTGGGATCTACTTTCAGTAAAGGATCAGTAAAGTCACCAGTACAGTTCCAGTGTGTGTGTGTGTTAAGTTGTATAAACCTTGAAATGTATACAAGCTGCAAATAAATAGCAGTGGGACATTATGCTGATGATGCTTTTGATCATTTGTATACATTTTTCACATCTTTCCCTGTTAAACTACCTAACAAGCCTGTATAAACCTTGCAATGTATAGAAGCTGCTTATAAGTAGCAATGAGACATTATGTTGATGATGCTTTTTATCATTTGTACACATTTTCCATGTCTTTCCCCGTTAAACTACATAACAAGCCTGAGAGATTAGTTATCATTGTAATTTCAGCGTTAGGAAGGAGGAAGCGGAGACTTGTTGAAGGTAAGTGGTTTTTTTACAATACCCTAAAATTGGTCTAAAAATGATGGTATATTTTGTTTGTTAAACAATTTCAAGTAAATTGTTTCCGAGATGCTTTTAGCCCAGCAGCACTTTGCAGTTTACTGGCAAGGTTGTTAGCCTTAAACTCAGTTGTCAAGAAACTAAATTTTTACTTACAAGAGTTGGAGTGACAGCACATGTTCATCCTTCCCTTTTTTCTTCTGTTCTCCGCCACCAAAAGTCAATTGAATAGTTAACAGTCATTCATTTATAAAATGTAATTATACATCACAAAGTGAAAAGGTGAGACATCCATAGGGAAAGAATTAGAATGGTGTGAGTTATGGTCAAAGACTATTTCATATATATCAGTGTAGTGAAGTTTTTGGTTTGTTTGTTTGTTTTTTAATTCAGTAGTCACCTTCTACCCTCTGGAATATAGAAGTGAGCTGCTGTCTCTTCACTCAGGGCATTATGGAGCAAAGTGTCAGAAAATACTAGACTTGCCCCATCATTGAGCTGTCCAGTATCAGTCAGGACCATCACTTTTTTTTTTACCTAATATCACAAGTCAACAGGATATGGAATATAGACAAGGGGAAGGAAGACAGAGGAGAAAAGAGAACAAGCTATATTCTGACTTGGGCTGCAGATGTTCAGGAAACTTGTTCCTGATAGCAGCAATGATTGGTGTGATGATTGTAGCACCAAGATTACTAAATCTTAAGTATGTATATTATATAAAATTAGAGTCAAAACCACTTTATTTTCTGCCTAACAATTCAGAGCTATTTCTCTTTTGTTTGTGGCAAATATGTCATATAATAAATACAGCATATACCTCAGTGCTGTCCAAAAGTTGCATGACTAAAGTGTTCTGCATGTATCTGGCAGGCCTTTATGGAGAACGTCCTCTAGTATTCTGAAAACCCCCCGAGTGGAGGATCATGTTTTTTCCCTTATATCCATCTTGCTTAGTAATAGCAGGAGAAATGCACATTGACAATATGATGATGTATTTGGAAATTAAGAAGATGAACCTACTAAAGTCTTTATTCTCTTTTTTATACCAGTTTTATTGTGATTTAATTTATATGCCCCTCTGTTCATCCTGTTAAAGTGTAAATTCATTGAACTTACCATTTTCATTGAATTGTACATCACTGCTGTCTGATTTTAGAACATTTTCATTGCCCCAGAAAGAAATTCCACATTTCTTAGCCATCATTCCCCATTCCTGATGCACCAGGCAATCATTTGTAACTGGCTTTTTTCACTTAGAGTATTGTTTTCACAGTTCCTCCATATGTAGCAGGCAAGTAAGATGCTGTAGCGTGAATGTATTTTATTTGTTTATCCATTCATCATTTTGTGGACATTTGGGCTACTTCTCCTTGTTGACTGTTAAAAATAATGCCTCTGTGAATATATTTGTATAATTTTTGGGTAGGCATATGATTTCATTTCACCAGTCCTCTGATTGGGCTGGAATTGTGGGTTATAGATCTGGGACCAAAATCTTAGCGTAACTCTGTGTTAACACTTTGTTTAACTTTTCAGAGTGGCTACACTATTAATTCTCCAACAATTAGCGGGGCTCCATTTTCTCTCCTCATCTTTGTCAACACTTATTATTTCCTGCCTTTTTTACTTTAGTTACTGTAGTGTGTGGTAGTTTCTCATTGTGACTTAGATTTGCATTTTCCTAACAGTGATGAACATTTTTGACATATTATTTGGATATCGTTGGACAAACACTTGTTCAATTTTTTTTTTTTTACCATTCTTTAAATATTATTTTTGGTTTTTAGTGTTCACTTTGAAGAGTTCTTCTTGTTCAGGTCTTCTAGCTAGATTTGCAAATGTTTTATCCCATTTTTTAGGTTATCTTTTCACTTTCTTTTAAATCAAAAAAGGTTTTAATTTTTATCAAGTTTAAGTTGCTCATTGTTTCTTCTTTCCCACCCAAATTTTTATATTGTTGAAGATTCACTCTTATTTTCCATTTATATTCTTTATTTAAAAAGACTTATTTATTTATGCACACAGAACTGTGTTACAGGCCAGAGGTGCAGGGGCAGTGAGAAGATTCACCATTGTCAGAGTGGGGAGCAGAATAGGCAGATCAACAAAGTGCACTTACGAGGGGAGCAGCCAGTGAGACAGGAGAGATCTGCTGCATCATGTGGATCACCTCTGGGGTGGAGCAGGGATCAAACTCTTAACAGAAGCTGCTGCAGCCAGCCTCACAGTGATGTACTTCCACAGACTGCACTAGCAGGAAGGGCCCATTTATAGTCTTTAAACAAATATTTATTGAGTGCACGCTGATAAATTTTTTGGTGTTTGGTATGGAACATTGAAGAACATTTTATCATGAGCTACAAACAATAGAAAAGGAAAAATCATTTCATACAATAAGTGATGTGAAGGAAATAAAGTAGATTTCATGGGACAAAGGGAAGGAAATAAAGTAGATTCTGGGCAGAGTCTTCTTTCAGAGGACGGTCCTGGAAGCCTCTCTAAGAGAAGCACCTAGTAAGGAGCTAGTGCTTAAAGTCCTCAACTGGAAGAAAAACTGGCGTGCACGAAGATCAGAAAGAAGACTATCTGCAATGAATACAATTAGCATAGTGCAGTGAGTCTGCCAGCAGGCATGGTATTTCGTGACAAGATTGGAGAGATAATTAGGAGTAGCTCACGTGGACCTCTGCAAGCATGGTATGGAGGGTTGGAAAAAATGTTCCTTCTTCCCCTTCTATGTTCTGTAATCTCTCAAAGAATGAAATTGACAGAGATTAACAGGAGGGAAAAAAGCCATTTAATTACATACATATAAGGGCTCCAAAAAGATAGGAGACTGCAGAGGCTGCTGGGCAGTTGAGGCTTATGTGGCCTCCTGAGACTAGAAGGCTCTGGGGCTTCTATGTGGGCAGGGCAATTATGGGAAAGTGAGCAGAAGAGAGGTTGACTCAACAAAGATTGCCCTTCTGTGTGGCTACACAATAGGTGTAAAAAATGATCTCCGGCAATAATAACATTCTTCTTGGTACAGGCCTCCTTTCTGAGGTAAACTTTCTTCAGAAAGGTAACTTCTGCTTTCAGCACCTCTCCTGTTTCATTTCTCAAAGCAAATCTTAGGCCACAGAGGCAGTTTGGGAATGGCATATTCTGCTACCCTTGAGTGAACAGTGAGGATGCTGCTTTACAGATGTTAAATGTCTGAGGTGTTAACTGGGGAGAATTCAAGAATGAATCTTAATGAGAAAGTAAAAATCTTCCAAGCAGAGACCAGATAGCACATTGTGGCAATACTCCAAGAATTAGGTGATGGAAGCATGGAATAGGATGATATTAAAAGGTAAACAGATATTTTATGAGTTTACTTGAGCAAAAATCAGGTTGAGCAGTGCTGAACCAAAGGTGGTTGAAAGCACTCTACACACAGGAAGGTTTTTTGTTTGTTCGTTTTTTGTAGAAAAGGTGGAAGCAAAGCAAAAAGGTTATACTCAGCTAGAGCTTAAAGCCTAGCTGTCTGCCTGTGGTGGTTGATTTTGACCTTATGGTTTGATTTCGTAACCTAAAGGTAGTTGCAGGCTTAGATTTTAGTTAAGTAGGTCAAAGACTAGCTGCCATGGCATTAGAGCTGCCTCAATCTAATGGCCTTTCTGTTTAATTACTATGACAATGGTAATAAAGAAGATGCAGATTTGGGATATTTTCTGGAAGTAGAATCACGTGATCTATTGATGAATGTGGTTTTAGGTAAAAGAAATAGGAATTGGAAAATGGCTTATTTGTTGTTGCTTTCAGCACATACTCTTGCAGTGCTTTTTAATGACATGAGGAATGCTGGAGTGGAGGGAGCAAATTTTAGAATAGAGTTTTGTATATGATTATATCTACAAAGAAGGCAATGGGTACTTGTTTCTGAGCTCATGGAAGAACCCAAAGGCATCTTTTTCAGAACTGCCAGCTTAGATGAGATTGCCTGGTCTGAGTATAGCTAAATATCTGAACACTGGCTCAGGAGAAGGGTATACATATATATATATATAGGAAGTCAAAAGGCGAGTACAGGAGTGATAAGCTCATATACTACTGAGAGAAAGAGTAAAATGAAGAGAGAAAATTTGACCATTGTATTTGATGGTGTGGTGTCCTTTGGTCACCTTGATGAAAGTCATTTCAGTAAGTAGTAGTTATCAGTGAGTAGTAGAGTCAAAAACACAACTGGAGTGGGTCGAACACAGAATGGGAGCCATTAAAACCAAGGCTGAATATGCAAAGCTTAAATTTCCTTTAACTAAATACTAGTGAAAAAACTAGCTTTGAGAAGGGATTTTTCATCCTTTTGATAGACCAGTGGGTGGAAACAGGATAGCTGGGCAG